AGAAAAAAATAAGATTAAAATAAAGCTTCTCCTTAATTCGATAAACTCGTTTCTTATTTGCTTTGGGATACATTCCTTTATTTTTTTGCACTTAACTAAAGTATTTTTCAATTTATCATATTCCAGATATCATTTGTGAAACACATTTAGTAAACAGTTTTTCGTGCACCATTACAATATTTTAAATTGTAAACGCTTTCATTACCTTCAAGTATTTCCCCATTTGGGGTAATTTACCGCGGTTTGCCAACCCCGGATCTAAAGGATGAACAAATAATAACATTTAAATTGCTTTGATTCTTATACTTTATTATCCATTAAATTGAAGAGTACATTTTCTGCCATTATTATATTTCACTTAATACTTATTTTATGTTTAATTAAATGAATCCATTTCACTTATATAAATAATTGGGAATATTTATAAGTATCCAAAAATTTATCAATGGATTTTCCCAAAATATCATTCACTTTCTTTTCAATAACCGGAATAAGGAATTCGAACAAATAGTAACTATTTGAATTCAAAATTCGATTCATAATTTCCGTAATCTCAACATCTCCCAAATACAAATTATCCAAATGCAGATAGAAAACACCATCAGGAAAAATAATTTTGGAATTTCTATACTCTTGCTCTAAATAAAAATTACCATTGCGGTGAACCAATTTCGTCTTCAACTCGAAAAGCAAAATATAATTCGCTGAAACAATAAAATTTTAGTAAATAAATATTATTTAACTCAAGTTGTGTACTTACTTGCGTTTGCTCTCATTTGTCCGGTGCTGTCTAATATCAAATTAAACGCTTTTCCTTTGCATCCATAAGATCCGATACCTTCGAGGTATGGAAATAAAATTTCGAATTTGAAAAGGTTATTTTTTAGATCCGAGTCAACTTTTTGTACAATGAAATTATCGAACCCTGTGATATTATAGTTCCACAATCCGAACTCAAAATCGCTATTATTAACGACTGAGTAATTAATGATAACTTTTCTTAAGCTTGGAAAAGATAGTTCGGGATATCCATCGATTAAATGGGGTTTAGCTGATTTGATGTTATTGTAAATACAATAATTTAATGACTTCGATGATTTCTGACTGCAAGGTGTCAGGAATGGTGCTAAAATATTTTTATATTTATTTAAGTAATATGCAATAGTAAATACTTACGTAAATATGCAGCATTTGCGATGAATATGAGTGTGTATAGTATTGTAAAGTGGAAGAACATCTTGGTTTTTGGTTGTTCTCTCGGATTTCATCTTTTATATATATATTTTTTAAGAAAAAAAATAAGATTAAAATAAAGCTTCTCTTTAATTCGATAAACTCGTTTCTTATTGGCTTTTAGATATATTTCTTTATTTTTTTTTTGCACTTAACTAAAGTATTTTTTAATTTATCTTATTCCAGATAGTAAACAGTTTTCCGTGGACCATTAAACGAATTCGGACATTATTCGCAACAAAATAATTTTACAAATTATGTTGAAAATATTTAAGTAGAGAAGTTAATAATAAAAACAGACAATTACTATTAATGTGTAAAGTGTTAAATTAAATATGGAAATACTTAATTCAAATGGATTCAAATTTTATTTGTATGTATTACTTTTTATTTTCTATCAATTAAATTTAAATATTGTTACAAGTCTTTCATCCGCAAGAAAATCAGTATTAATATACATAGAGTTAAATACTTTCTAACATGAGAATGGTTATAAACAAAAATTGAAATAAATTTATTGATTATGTTTAAAACAAAACTAAAAAGAATAATTGAATGGCTAGAAATTAACAAAATTTTAATTACATTAAAACAATTGTAAACAAAGAGCAGAAAAACCTAGGTTGATAACCATTTTCTTATTTATTTATATTTAGAATTATTTATTTTAAAGGTATTATTTGTATTTTATGTATTTTGTATTTTTTTATGTATATTTTGTTTTGTTTATTCTGGCTAATAAATTATGATTATTATTTATAAACACAAAAAAACAATAATACTAAATAAATAACATCTGACCAAAGGATGACCCATTTTAATTGAATAAATATTTTATTTTACACATTTTTTATTTTCTGTTTGCAATTATTTGTGTATAATTACAGTGACAAACTGTGCATTAAACATTGTTATTTTGAGATGATGAAAACACATTATTCAAGTAACATAAATAGGTGTAGTAGACCTTTGATCGTGCAAACATCAATAACACCTGAGCAGATTCTTATTCATGAAATTATCTTATTTGTTTGCTAACGTTGACAACATTGCAATTTTTACTGCAATCTTAAATAATATATTATTATAAAATTATTATAATATATTATATAAAATTAGTATGTTTAAAATCATATTGTTACATTTCTTTATATATTTACACAATTTTCTTGGAGTTAATTTGGATTAACTAATAACAATTGATTAATTACATTAATATATATAGATAAAAGAGCTTTACATTCTTTTTTATTAAATTAACCAAAATTATAAAAATATATATTAAAAAATAAAAACTCATAGAACAAAACATAAAAAATTCAAGTCTTTGTTCAAACGTTTTCTAAATAAAAATAATAAGTCACAAATCCCGCTTGTCTTTTTACTTAAATTCATGTCTCTAAAGCAAGTAATACCTTAGAACTAATTTCAGTTTTCAATTTTATTCCAAAGGGTTCTTGTAAGTCGAGTTTATTCGTAAATCGGGGGAATTGTAAAAAATTCAAAATATCTTATCTTACTGGTTTTTACTTTTATATAACTTAAATTCCGTATTACTGACTGCATAAATTTGAAAAAAAAATAGATTAAAATAAACAAAAAACTTACAAAGACATTTCAATGTAGACATGACATGTATTTAATAAGACAAAAGAAACAAATGCTTTTTTGTTTGGACAGTTAATTTTTTAACACTATATATCTCCTTGTAACAAGTTAGTGCTTTTATAATTTTGTTGGTAAGTCGAGAGTTCGTAAGTCTCATTCCACATGAGAGAAACACCGATGTCATTGACATAAAAAAGACATTCTTTTAAGTATACGAATGTTTCTATCATTTCGTTTCGCAGTCATTAATAAGTCTTAATTCCTTTCCTATTTTCTGTTTATGTCAAATTGTTTATGTTTCAAATAATTAAGTCTTTTTTATAGTTTAAGTCTACATTCAAAAACCGCTTTTTTGTTAGTAAACCCTCAACCCTATAACCCGTTATATAAAAACTGAGTTATAAAAGTTGCGTGTTGTTGGAGTGTTTACTGTATTAATTCCTGAATTTATATTTTATGGAATGAAATATATAATTAAAGGAATAATATGAATAATTAAACATTGATACTAATAAGCATTATTAAATGTGTTTTCTTTATAAAAAAGTGCAATTACTTTCTAGACGTAAATAAGTATTAAATATTGCTATTTCCTATATAACAAAACAAAACTAGAACACCTTGAACTGTAAACATATAACAATAATAAATCAATATTAATGCATATTGTTATTAATGTTATATAATAATAATAATAAACATTGAAACAAACTATATACAGAAACTGAATTTATGATGAATCCGGACTGATGGAAGGCACACTATGTAAAGTATTGCTGAAGAATATTACTTGAAATATGTATGGAAAACTAATTTTGTGATTTTTTACATATCACGCCTCAACCCAACATTATCCAACAGTTCTCGGTATAAAATTGTTGATGTCCAATAATAAAACATATCATCAATTTAATTTTAATGTAAAAGTAAAGTTAAAAATAATTTAATTTATAAAATGAATGTAAAGTTACGAGTCATTTTGAGGGAATAATTCAATGAATGAATATGCTTGAAATAATTTATCAACGTTCGAATCCAAGTATGTAGTTAAGCCTTTAGCTAAAATCGGAAAAAGCATTTCAAGTAAGGCATCGCTTTTTTCGTTAAGAACTTCGTTCATCATTTCCGTTTTCTCTTGGTTTCCGAAAGAAAGATTCTCTAAATAAACGTAAAATTTTCCATCCGTTCTATTGATCTTAAGTTCATGTGAAGATTTTTTCATGTAAATCTTTCCTTGATTTTCGACGTGATCAATTTTCAATATGTAACGAAAAGCAATTTTCGCTGAAATAACTTGAATATACTAAACGTTACTTAAAAAAAAATGAACTAAAACTTACTGACATTAGCGTAAATCGGTCCAATGCTATCAAAATTTAAATTAAATATATTTCCTTTGATTTTAGCCAATCCAGACGCTTCAACGTAGGGAAATAAACCTTCCACAATTAATACTTTATTTTTGAAATCACCTCCGACGTTTTGTATTTTAGCTGATTCGAGTCCTGAGACATTGTATTTCCATAATCCAAAATAAAAATTTGATATTTCAAGGAACGAATATTGCATGGGTAATAATTTCAGTGGTGGAATGGATAACTCGGGTATTCCTTCTCCAAATTGAAGCAAAGTAGATTTTATATTCGCTGTTATGCATGCATTTAAGTTATTCGAAGATAAGTCACAAGGTTTTATGTACGCAGCTGAAACATTTAAATCTCTTTATTGATACGATGCAATTTATTACTTATTTATTTATTACTTACGTAATTCTGCGTAGATGGATGCAATCAATGAAATAAATAACACTACGTACAGATTCATTATTATGTTAGTAATAATATTGAGAACGTATATTCTTTTTATATATACTTGTTTCAAGTAATTGGACGATTACGCTATAATAATAATATATGACCATGGAAAATGTCCTATTCATTAATTAATTATTTTTCTTTTGCTCAATGAAAATTTTGTTTGTTTTGAAATATTGAAACCCGGCTACAGCGAATCCGAACTATGCGAGGTTTTTCTGTATATTATTATTATATTATAAATGTATGTTCAATCATACAAACCTATGAATAATTTCAATTAAAGATGTATCAATACGGGAGTAAACTATTAAACAAGGAAAATATATATTTTAGTTATATCTTTTATTTAGGGAAGAAGTCATCAAATGAATAAGTTTTAAACAGGGTATTTAATACCGTATCTAATAATTGTTTAAGAGATTTTTGAAGAATAGGAAACAGGATATTAAGAAATTGTTCATTATGTGTGTTCAAAACATCGTTCATAATTTGTGTTGCAGTTTCATTTCCGAAACTTAAATTATCTATGTGAATATACAATTTTCCATCAGTCTGTTTAGTCTTAATTTCATCAGAATCCTTCACCATATATTGTTTTCCATCCTTTTCAACAAGCGATATTTTCAACGTGTAATTGATGATAATATTCGCTAAAATTTTGATACACAAAAATAATATTAAAGTTAAAAAAATAAATGTAAAATAAACTTACAAACATTTGCATGAATTGGTCCCATACTATCTAAATTCATATTGAACAGATTTCCTTTAATCTGAACTAATCCGGCTCCAATGATTATTGGAAAAAATGCTTGAACTTTGATTTCGTTGTTTTGAAAATCGACGACGACTTTTTCCACCTCGAATTCATCCATGCCTGTGATTAAGTAATTCCAGAGTCCAAAATGAAAGTCCGGTAAGTCCAAGCGAGAATACGCAATTGGTATTACTTTAATCGAAGGAATGGACATGTCCGGAATACCTTCGACGAGGTAAGGTTTAGCAGATTCTATATTATCTTTAAGACATTTATTTAAGTTCTTTGATGATATAGCACAAGGTTTAAGAAACGGAGCTGAAACAATGAATATTACATAAGTATTAGATCAATAACTATGAAATGTCGGATTAAAGAACTTTGATACCCGATTTCTATGACATTTTACTTTGACAGTTCAGATGCACGTTTTGGTTTGTGATTATCTTTCGAATTGTCTTTTGCAGATTATATTTTTGTAAAGCATGCATAACTCAAAAATCGCATTATTTTCGAATAACAGGAGCTGGACTTCAAAACTCTCTGTTACCCACAGTATTCCTCAGATCTTTAAACAACTGATTATAATTTTTTCCAGGGATTGGACCACTTTCTTTCAAGGAAAAATATTTGAGATATAATAAATTAAATGAGCCGCTGGGTCAAACCATCAATATGAAACTACCACATACTGATTTCTTTGAGAACATAAAAACAGCGTCAATGATAGAATGGCAGGAAGAATACCTTTCTGATAGTCATACCAAAGAAAGGCTTTACTTCGAATTGATTAATAGGACAGTGAAGTGCACTCAATGGTTCACAGAACTAGGTATTTATACAAAACGACAAGTCTCCGCTCTCTCAAAAATACGTCATGGGCATTCTTTATCCCCATCTCATCTATACAGAGTGGGACTATCTGAGTCGGACCTTTGTTCCTGTGGAACTATAGGTTCAATTAAACACATCTTCTTTGAGTGTCCTAACAACGCTGTGGCGACGAAGGCCATCATCAATTTTGTACTAACAACTAAAACCGCCCTTTAACAAACTATAATCATTCATACAATATTACTCAACAATTATTAGTTTGCATACCTCGCTGCATTCCATATAACAAAACAAAACACTACTACATAACCGATCCGAGGTTCATCCATTTTTTCCATCTGTTTAGAGTCACCGGAACCCCGGCTCGAAATGTCTATGTATCAACTTAGGCCACATACACACTTAAGCCACAAACGGGTCGACAGGACCCAGCTAACTGTGAAGGGGTATCCAGAAGGAAACTCATTATTGAAAGAAGAAGAAAAATTCGAAATAGAACGTTTCCTACTTAATGTCCAATTACATTTAATTTAAATATTTTACTTACGTAATTCCGCGTTGATTAATGTTATTAACGCACATAATATAATGAAATAATTCTTCATTTTTCGTTGCAAACAAACTATCGACTGCATTGAATAGAAATGAAATAATATTTATACATTCTCTGCATAATGAAATTGTAATTATCTGCAATTATATTTGTATCAATTATAAAAAAAAGAAGCAAACTTTAATAAGTTTGTCAAAGTCCCTATTTTTTTTTAATTGATACCACAAATATAAACTAATTCATAAAAAAAAATAATAATAATTTATTGGCCAAACATTAATACATAAGAGGAAGAAAAAAAAAGGACAATTTATACATAGATAAATTTTAACATATAATAAAAATATATATCAAAGTAATTCATAATTTTTTATATTATTATTTGTTAATTTTCAGAAAACAGATTTAAAAGTAAATAAATAAAGTTTTTAATATTATTATCTATTATATTATTATAAAATATTATATTATAACTACTTTAATAAAAAGTTGGTAATTTTTTTTTACTAATGTTTCCAATAAATACGATAGTTCATGTCAAATTTCAAGAAGATTAGTGATGTAAGGTTGGTAAAAATTCCACCACCGACACAGCAAAAATTTGTTTTGCCATTCTCTAAGGATTTCTACGTCATATCAAGCCTATGCAAATTTTCCAGGAATGCAAAATGTATATGGAATCAATGCATCATCCCTTCTGACTATTTCCAAGTGGTTCCAAAGATTTCAGACCAGACATTTCTCTGTAGAGAACGAACCTCGTGAAAGTTGCCAGAAATCTCCGACCGATGATACAAATGTAGCACTCGTGATAGATTCCACAAATTTTTAATATTAAAATAAAATTGTTTCTATTTTGTTTGTTTTTCAGCCAACTTAGCGAACAACTTTGTTAGACATATCAAGAAAATAATTTTAGAACTTATTTTTCTTTTGGTCAATTAAAATTGACTAAAACCGGGATATAGATATTCTGGACTGATCGAAGTCGAACTATTTGAGGTTTTTCTATATATAATTATATTATAAAATTACAAAAAATGTTGAATCATAGATTTTATTTATATTTAGGGAAGAAGTCATTAAATGAACAATGTTTAAACAACGCACTTACTAAGGAATCTAATAATTGACTCAGGCTATTCACAAGAATAGGAAACAATATCTTAAGGAATTGATCATTATGTACGTTCAAAGCATCGTTCATAATTTCCGTCGCAGTTTCATTTCCAATACTTAAATTTTCTATGTGAACATAAAATTTTCCACTGTTCTGCTTACTCGTAATTTCGTGAGAATCCTTCACCATATATTGTATTCCATCTCTTTCAACAAGCGATATTTTCAACGTGTAAATCATGACAATATTGGCTAAAATTAATAGAAAAATATAATTAATTTAAATCATTTTAAATACAAATTAACCATACAAAGATTTGCATAAATTGGACCCATACTATCGAAATTCATATTAAAAACATTTCCTTTAATTTCAGCTAATCCGTTTCCAATGAGTAAAGGGAAAAATGCTTCAACTTTGATTACGTTATTTTTAAAATCTGCATCTACTTTTTGCACTTCGAATACATCTATGCCTCCGATTACATAATTCGAGACTGCAAAATGAAAGTCCGGTACGTCCAAGGTAGAATAAGGAATTGGTATTTCTTTGAACGAAGGAATAGACATATCCGGAATACCTTCGACGATGTGTGGTTTAGCAGATTTGATATTATCTTTAATGCATTTGTTTAATTCGTTTGATGATATATCACAAGGTTTTATAAAAGGAGCTGAAATAATTAATATTATTAGCAAATAAATTTAATTTAAATGTTTAACTCACGTAATTTCGCGTTGATTAATGCTATCAACGAAGATAATATTATGAAATAATGCCTCATGTTTCGTTGCAAACAAACTATCGAATGCAAATGATATAAATGCTATAATATTTATATATTCGTTGGTTAATGAAATTGTAATTATCTGCAATTATTTTTTGTATCAATTATAAAAGAGTAGTAGACTTTAATTGCTTTGTCGAAGTCTCAACCATTAATTATGCATTTTAATTAAATTTACATTTCAAAAATTGAGAAACCAGGAAAAAGGTGAACTTTATCGATATTTTCAACGTGTAAATAATAACAGTATTGGCGAAAATTAAAAAAAAAATATAATTAAATTTAAATCATTTTAAATAAAAATTAAACTTACAAAGATTTGCATAAATTGGACCCATACTATCGAAATTTATATTAAAAACATTTCCTTTAATTTCAGCTAATCCATTTCCAATGAGTAAAGGGAAAAATGCTTCAACTTTGATAACGTTTAAAATCTGCATCTACTTTTTGCACCTCGAATACATCTATGCCTGTGAGTATATAATTCGAGACTGCAAAATGAAAGTCTGGTCCGTCCAAGGTAGAATAAGGAATTGGTATATCTTTGAACGAAAAGGAGTTGAAACAATTAATATTATTCAACATTAGAATTTAAATGTTTAACTCACGTAATTTCGCGTTGATTAATGTTATCAATGAAGATAATATTATGAAATAATTCCGCATTTTTCGTTGCAAGCAAACTATCGAGTGCAATTAGTATAATTGCTCTAATATTTATATATTGTCTGGTTAATGAAATTGTAATTAGCTGCTATTATTTTTAGTATCAATTATAAAAGAGTAGTTAACTTTAATAGTTTTCTCGAAGTCCCTAACCATTAAATTGCATAATTTAATTAAATTTACATTTCCTATTTATAATAGAAAAATGTGATTTTTTTTTAAATTTTGATTTCTTATTTGGAAAACATATGAATTTTATTAAATTAACAATTTGTTCATTTGCAGAAGATGATATTATATAATGC